GTGTGTGTGTGTGTGTGTGTGTGTGTTATATACTGTATATATGTTATATATAATAACCTAGTAACTTATTTTTTATTGTTACTGAAAAGCAGAAACTAAAATTAACACTACTTTTTATGCTTCTTTTAAATGATTTCTGTTCATTTCAGCTGTTGTTTTAACCAATTTTAGCTACGTTGTAGCTGCCTATTCTGCTCATTTTTAGCTAAATTCRGTTTTCTAATAATTTCAGCTTCTTACTGCTTAATTCAGCCAACATGCTCCTTTTGCATCTTTGTGCTAATGTCAGCTATTTTTCATTTCACATTCTTTCACAGCAGTGTTTGACAAATAGTTTTAAACTAATAAATGATAAAAATGTCACTCATTTAGCTAGCCATTAGCCTAGCCTGGACGAAGTATTTCGCATCTTTCTAACTAACGTCACAGCTGATAAAGTAACAATCTGGGGTGTCCTGATACCAGTACCAGTACTTTGGTTTGGGAACTTGCCAATACTGTACTGGTTCCAATTAGTTATTGTGTTTGTACGTAAACACTACGCAATGATTTTAGAAACATGTTCTTTTAAATTAAGAACATAATTAAGTCTGCTATCCTAATGCCYGTGTTTATTTTAAAATATCTTCCAACTACAGATGTTGTTTGGTTTTGTTAGCCCGACATCTCTTTCTCTTCATAAGCTGTGTCCAAATTCAAGGGCTGCGTCCTTCGAAGGCCAAATTTATCATCCGATTATGTCACTTTACTGTGCCGAAGGCTGTCCAAATTCGAAGACTCCTCAAATTACGATCCACAAATGCGTCCTCGTTTTTCCCCGATTTGAGGTATGGGTCTGGTGGATCCTTCTCAGCTCAGCCTATCCTAAAATGCATTGCGGGCCAACCAGAGATTTTTAATTTTAATTTTTTTGCTTGTAATGATGGACAAAGTGAGAGAAAAGAACTCTGTTTTAATTAAAATCTGGCAGTATAAAAATGTAAAGTTTAAAGTGGTTGTGTTGTTAATGCTTTATATGTCATTTGCACCGACACGTTTTTCATATTCTTGTCGGAAATCAGACTCGCTGGTATGGTGAATCCCTTACTTCTTCAAGTATTGCCTTTTGATCTCATTTTGTTATTTTATAATATTAATAAAACATTTATTGATATTTGATAACTTCTGTTTAGCGTTGTCTTTTTTTGCTAGGTGATAGGTCCTACGGTAATAAAGCCGAAGGCTAGACTGTCCAGTTTTACAGCCATTTTTTTCTGGTCTTCGTGGTCGACCCGGCCCACCTAGACCGGGTAGGCCAGGTCCTTTAAAGGATGCAGTTCCTGAATTTGGACACAGCCAAAGTCTCTCCTTCATGTCCTGGGTATTCCCTGGGGTCTCCTCCCAGTTGAACATACCTGAAGCACCTCTCTAGTAGGGTTGGTCAATATTGGTAAAAAAAAAAAGAATCACAATTAATTGTGGTATTTAACTAATAACGATTAATTTGACGATTAATCCCCTGGAGTACCTGGACACCTTTATGTCCTGGTCACATGACCAAAGTAGTGGGAAGGATTTGCTCTTCATAAAAATCTGTTCCAAATTGTGTCAAAATTACAGACTTCAAGCTACACATCAAGTTTTAAATTGTGTTGACAGATAAATAAATTACAGAGCTTTATTTTTAAAATGTTCATCATATTTGAAGCAGAGAGGAGCATTGAGCAGACTCTGCTTAATCGTATTAATCGTCAAGTGCCAAAAAGTAATCGATTATTGTTTTTCTGACGGTTAATTGCACACGATACGATTATACCCAACCCTACTCTCTAGGGAGGCATCCAGGAGGCATCCTTACCAAATAAATGACCTCATTTCCTCTGGATGTGGAGACTGTGAACTGCTCCCGTCAGAGCTGAACATCACCACCTTGGAAGTGGAAAAGGAAATGTCACCAAGCGTAAAAGTGGTATCGCTCCAAAGTGGCCTGTCTTTATCAGTACAAGTATATGAACCTGGGTATCAGGACACCTTTAGTAACTATAGACTGAGCCTTACTTCAAAGTTAAATGGATTATCCTTTAATACTTTATTAAAAAGACCACCCACATGCCCAACAGTAAAATGCTCTTTTGTTTTTGGACACTGCTCTAGTTTTCGTGTCCAAAGTAGGTAACTGTATTATCACATGATATTTTTGGTTCCTGGCTGTGTACCAGCTAAACCCAAACCAGGTCATTTATTGTTTACATTCGAATACTTCAAAGTTATTCAGGTGAAAGTAATTGAACACAGAAGTGTTTGTGTCAGGGGTATGTCTTGTCATGCTGTGTCTTAACAGCTTCTTGTGCCTCGCCATYACAGGGGTGGTGTTTGTGCTCGGGCGTCTCCGACACGGCCTCTTGTCACGTCCAGTTCTATAAGCTCAGGAGTGACTCAGACCTTCTGTACGCTTGCTCAAAACAGAGCGAGGTCCACTTCCTATGTGTTGTTTCAGACAGCTGGCAGGGGCTCGGGAACCTGTGGAAAATTTGCCGYAGAGGAAAGAAATGGTGAAAAAGCCGGTGGCGTGTGGGTGGTATGTTGTGCAGCATCAGCAGGGAGGGAGCTGTGGTGGGTGGAAGGGCACCCGCTTTCCTCGTCTGCGTCATTGATGACCCACTAAAGTCTTCTGGAGGGATTAAAAAATGATGTCAGTATCACTGAAATTCACTCGCTGGTTATGATTTTTAATGAGAATGAGTGGAGAGTTGGGTCTGTGTGACTGTTCAAACAGAATAATTTATTATGTTTAATAAGACAGACTAACACTGTGAACAAGTAGAAGATAACGTTCAAGTTATTTGAAAATGGAAAATGAAGAAATGTTGAAAGATGTTATTGCAACAATGATGACACTGTTTTTAAGATGGCAGGCCACAACTGGCCCAGTTGTAGTTTGGTTTATTTGGTCCGAATCTGCCAATGCCACAACTGGCCCAGTTGTAATTTGGTTTATTTGGTCCGAATCTGCCAATGCCACAACTGGCCCAGTTGTAGTTTGGTTTATTTGGTCCGAATCTGCCAATGCCACAACTGGCCCGGTTGTAGTTTGATTTATTTGGTCCGAATCCGCCAATGCCACAACTGGCCCGGTTGTAGTTTTTTTATTTGGTCCAAATCCGCCAATGCCACAACTGGCCCGGTTGTAGTTTGGTTTATTTGGTCCGAATCCGCCAATGCCACAACTGGCCCGGTTGTAGTTTGGTTTATTTGGTCTGAATCTGCTGATACTACAACTGGCCCGGTTGTAGTTTGGTTTATTTGGTCTGAATCTGCTGATACTACAACTGGCCCGGTTGTAGTTTGGTTTATGTGGTGCTTTTTACTAAGTTCCTTTGTGAATAAAATATAGATTTATGAATCATTACATTTTGTTTAATTTCCTACATTTTCCACATTTTACCAACTTTTTTGTAACTGCGGTATAATTTAGGTTTTTCTTTCTTTCATAGCTGTGGTATGAARATGGGGTGCTTCAGCATTTATGTCGCTCTTTAATTATCTATAAGAAATATAGGGTTATTATTAAAATAAAATTTGACTCTACCTCCTTTTCTTTTCATAAAATGTAATTCAGCAGCATGCGGGTCAGTCCTGGCCAGACAGACCCTTTTGAAGGTTTTCCTTCTCTTAAAGCTCCAGATTTTTGTCACTACATACATGTCACAATTTGAAGTATGCAGTCCTGAGGAAAAGTAGGTTAGTATTACAGCATTATATAAGCACGAGGTAAGAGGGCAGCCCCAGACCTCTTTCACTCTCACAAGCTTTTAAACTTTCAGTCAGCCAGAGGTTTGGCGCCATTTAATGGCAGCAATCAGACAGTGCATCAAAAATGTGCCTGGAAAAAGATGACTGTGTGTGTAGTCATCTTTTTCCACACGTGTGTGTGTGTGTGTGTGTGTGTGTGTGTGTGTGTGTGTGTGTGTGTGGATGCGGAGTAGGCAATTAGAAATTTAACACTGAAAGGGAAGAAAAAGTTGGCAGCTTTGCTTTTATAAGATGTTTTTTTCACTCCACTTTTTAACTTTTTTATTTTGAGGCATTTGTGTGTTTTTAATTGTTTAATGATTTTTGCCATAGTTTCAGCCATTTGTTGATCATTTCCTCCAACAACTGCGAAGAAAAGGATTTGAGCCATTTCAATATTCCAGTTAAATAAATTCAGAAAGACATAAAATGAGTAGTTTGAATTTTTCTATCGTTCATGCAAAGGCATTTAAAGTCATACCAGAGCTCTTTTATGAAGTCACAGATGGTTTAACTGTGATGTGTGAAATTTGTTTTAAATTTAACATTTTCAAAGCTTTACAAAGATTAAGGAAATTTAGTTTCTTTCTGCTTTTAATTAACTTTATTTTGGGCATTTTAGTAGTACTTCAATAAGTAAATTGTGTCAAACTTAAGGCCCGTGGGCCAAATGTGGCACACTGCAGCATWTATGTGGCCCACAAGAGCTTCAAAGAATGTCTCCCATGTTGATTATCATCATTCATGTTGATTATTTTACCCACAAAATGACAGCATCCCACCTCTAGATGGAGGTACGCAGGGTTCAAAAGTAGCCATCAGATGTCGAAATCCAACATGTAAAATCTCCATGTTGTGCATTTTTACTGGTTACTTTTGCTGCAGCCCAGTTTTACTGGGGAGTGGGAATTTCCCACATATAAGTCGTAAATTTAAACTTGAATTCCGCTCCAGTGGGAATTCCCTGTCGGAAAGTGGGAGAGTTCAATGTTCAAGATGGTAGCTACTTATCACAACTACTGTGAGTAAAACCATCCAAAAACCATTTTACTTTTAATAGTATTTCTGTATTACTTATTTCACATTTAGTCAGTCRTACACGTACTGTAGCGCTTTTCAGTGTTTACAAGAAGACGTGTTAAAACATTGTTTCTATGCAGGAAATACCATTTAGAGCTCAGTTTTTGTTTTTTAGCGGTGCTCAGCTTGTAGCAACGAGACGAGGAATGTGACATTTAGGCAAAGTTAAACAGTTATTTACACCTGGCCCTTTGAGGACCACAATAATGCTCATGTGGCCCTCAGTGAAAATGAGTTAAATAAATATTATGTTCCCTGGAGCTGCAGAAGAGTAAAATTTTCTTTGGTGAACAGAAGGGTTCTAATAAATTCATTGATTACTTCCTTCTAATCGTTGTTTTCACTTATCAGATCACGCTGTGAAGGAGGAGGATGAGGAGGAAGGGGAGGGGCCAAGCCAATCTAGGTCCTCGATGCCAGCTGTCGAGTTGCCAAGAAAACGCAAAGGGGTTGTGGAGGAGAGGTCAGACACTCATGTTCAGTAAGAGCGTGTGATTGTTCGCAAGGATAAACCAAACTGGTTTCACTTTACTCAGTTGTCCTCTCATAAATGTGATACTGAACCCTTTGTCCTAACAAAGATCCTAATGACCCACATTGTGTCTACCTGATCTTCCAGGCAGGGCCTCAGCTTCCAACTAGACGATGACCTCAGCAGGTACACCAAAACTGCAGCTCTACGTTGTCGTCCGGGAAAAATGCGGGCGCCAAAGTTAAATTATTTTGGTTTTGTTTGCAGATCTGAAGGCGAGGATCAGCAAGTCAAAATGAAATGCTTCAGGTGATTTTATATCAGACAGTTCATGATTCCAACTACACTCACTGAAAAAAAAACCCCGAAGTTAAGCACTGAGGCAGAGTTGTGGAAATAAAATCTAAACTGTGGAAATATCACTTGACTGTGTTGCAATGATTATAGTGTCAAACCAGATGTGGAAAGGTGTGGAACTCATTCAGTCCTGGATACAAAACAAGCATTCAGAGCAGAATAGAAGGCCTATCTTTTAGGCTATGTCCAGAACATAGTCGCCATGTTGGATTAAGATAGGTCCCCCTTCACCCATTACTTGCAGGGGTATTTCCTTTTCCCTGTTCTTTCTAAAATAGAAGTGTCCAGAGCCTTTTGACTCACCCTGTGGCCAATCAAGCCCTCAACTATTGCCCTTACAATCCAGCAGATGGGTTCTGGGTAAGAGTAGATGTTTCTTGGGGTACCTTGTGGTCTGGCTGACCACATGACACAGGCAGTCTACAGACATGTCTTGATGAGAGCTGTCTTGTTGAAAGACCATACCAGAGTACCATCTAAGGAAGGGTAAGACATTTGGAAACAGAATGTCACTGAAATAGAGTACCCTATGGCTGCCTTCATTAAGATCCCAGTTTGACTTTCCACAACATCAGCATGCTTGGTCCTTTCCCTTCAGCTCCACCATATACACTCGATCAGCTGTAGTGATGCCTAATAACTGATCCACAATGATATATTGATTAAATGATTAATGATTCATTTACAAAGCAAAATAAAACATCAATCCATATCATCATCATATGCATTGTGATAAAGCTGGTGATTTACACCCCTAATGCTTAACTGAGATTCATCACTGAATTTGACACAACACCACTTTTCATAGGTGCATTCTTCTCCTGTATGGCACCAAAGAAGCCATCTTTGTTCTGGTGGTCATAGCAACCGATGTACAGTATAGAGTGGTGAACCTATCCAGTTGATGCCAGATGTCATGATATGGTGCTGGATATCATGGGGTGTTGTATGGAGCGATGGTTCCCAAACTCTTCAGCTTTTGACCCACAAAATATCAGCAGCAGACACCTGTGCCTCCAAATATCTTTGTGTCAAATAAACATGGGCAAGATAACAATATTCATTATGGTACTTTTATCCATTTTTAAGTACAGTACATTAACCACACTCCATTGCAATAACTATAACAAAAACGTTGGAAACCGCTGGTATAGAGTCTAAAAATGGGCAGGTGTAGCTGCACATATAATGGGGGGTCAATAATAATAATAATAATAATAATAATAATAATAATAATAATAATAATAATAATAATAATAATAATAATAATAATAATAATACATTTTATTTCAAGGCGCCTTTCAAAAACCCAAGGTCACCTTACAAAAGCACTTAAAAACAACAGTTAATAAGAACAAAGCAAAATTAAAAAGATCAGTAAAACAATATTAAAAATGAAATTACAGAGAGTATGCCATTTTGAACAGATGCGTTTTCAGTAGTGATTTGAAAGAGGAAAGAGAGTCCGTGTTCCTGATGATAGAAGGAAGGGAATTCCAGAGCCGAGGAGCACATCGGCTAATAGCTCTGTACCCCATGGTGACGAGATGTGGATCTAAGGGCACGAGAAGGAGAAGAGATGTGAAGGAGGTCACACAAATAAGGAGGGGCGAGGTTATGGATGCATTTAAATGTGAGAGTCAAAATTTTAAAATGTATTCTTGCTTCAATGGGCAACCAATGAAGTTGCGGCAGAGCCGGGGTGATGTGTTCTCTTGATGGAGTACAGGTTATGATCCGGGCTGCAGTGTTCTGGAGGAGTTTGAGTTTCTGTAGAGTTTTAATTTGGGAGACCAAAAAGAAGAGAGTTAGTTACAGTAATCGATTCTGGAAGTAATAAGGCAATGGACAAGTGTGGCAGCAGCATGAGGAGTGAGAAAAGGATGCAGTCGGTTGATATTGCGTAAATGAAAGTATGAAGACCATGTGATGGGATTGAAATGAAAGTGTACTATCAAGTATGACACCCAGACTCTTTACCTGAGGGGAAAAATTAACCTGAGATACGTCAATATTGATGGAAAAACTGAGATTTGGTTAAAGTGGATGCTGTGCCAACAAGTAAAGCTTCTGTTTTATTATTACTAAGTTTAAGATAATTGGAGGAAAACCATGATCTTATGTCTTTAAGACAGTCTGTAAAGGAGGAAGGTGGAAGAGATGAATTGGGTTTTGAGGAGATGTAGAGCTGGGTGTCKTCTGCATAACAATGGAAATTGATGTTGTATTTACGGAATAGGTGGCCAAATGGGAGCAAATAAATAATAAATAAAAGGGGCCCTAATACAGAACCCTGGGGCACACCTGCAACAATGGGAAACAAGCTCGAGGAATGGGATTTAGATTGAATAAACTGGGTACGGCCTGAGAGATATGAATTAAACCAAGCAAGTGGAATTTGACTGATACCAATGGATACTAATCTGTTGAGAAGGATATTGTGAGAAATGGTGTCAAATGCTGCACTGAGGTCAAAAAGAATGAGAATGGTAAGAAGAACAGAATCAGCTGCCATCAAAAGGGCATTGGTGATCCTTAATAAAGCTGTTTCAGTACTGTGATGGGGGTGGAAACCAGACTGGAATTGTTTGTAAAAATTATGTTTTTTAARGTGTGAATGAAGCTGGGAGGCAACAACTTTCTYAAGAATTTTTGAAATAAAAGGAAGATTAGATATTGGTCTTTGTGGGAACATTGTGGKAAGAGGGTCAAGCTGGCAGGTGGATGATTTTGTTTTTTGAATAATAGTTGTTACATCAGATATAGATGGAAGAGTGAAACTAGAAAATAAATGACAGGCGGCAGCGAGGAGAACAGGGGGTCAGATTCTGTGTAATCAGCACTTACAGGGTTAAGTTATTGGTGGATATTAGAAATTTTATCAATACAGAAGAGCATGATAGTGTTGCAAGTGTCAGTAGAGTACATGTGGGAGGAAAGGAATCTGGAGGTTTAGTAATTCTGGAAAACAGAGACTTAGAGTCACCTTCATTAGAACTAATTAAACCAGAGTAGTATGCAGATTTGGCCGAAACAATGCAGTCCTTATAAAACAAAATATGATTGTTATACATTTCTTTGTGTATAGTGAGTCCAGATTTTTTGAACAGGCATTCCAGTTGGCGTCCTTTGGCTTTGAGAAGACGCAGGTTGGGTGTAAACCACGGTGCTGAGCCGGAAAATGAGACAGTTCTTTGTTTGAGTGGAGCAAATGTATTAAGAAGGTTGTGGAGTTTAATGTTATAGTAAGGTATGAGTTCATCAGGGGTCGGGAGGCTGTGAATAGATGGAAGGTCATGCATAGCAGATGAAAAAATGACAGGATCAATATTATTAATTTTCCTAAATGTAATAACACGAGGCATGCATATTTTTGAAGCTGTTATGTTAATATCAAAGGAAATGAGTTTATGATCAGAAGGGGAAACAAATTGGCTTTGCAGTGAGCAGGGGTGACACCAGAACAACATATTGTTTGGAACACAAGATGAGAATCCTTTCTTGGTGTGATCCGTCTCAGCAAACCTTCACAATGCTTGTTGATTACCACACACACGTCCCACGCATACCTACATGTTCTAACATTGGGTTGTTATGGCATCTTTTGTGTCTGGTAACCTTTTCTTCAACATTTTGACTCTCAAATGCTTTGTAAACTGCCCACTCGTGCCCTTTGGTGCCAATTCTAGATGAACCAGTTCATTTCAAGTCCAGCCATTTACTGTACATACCCCTTACTAGTCTGCCCACRGACCAAACTGTAAACAAATTGAACCATTCTTTTTGGGCGTTTAATACCATTTTTGTCAAATGTACTTGCAGTTGGAACTTTTCTTATCGTTTTTGTTTAATTGTAGATCTCTTCCCTTCAAGTTAAGTCTGATAAACTGATGTATAAAAATGCCTGCAGGGTGCCTCACCGACAGATCGAAAAGCAGCGAAGAGACAAAATGAACAATCTCATCGACGAGCTGTCTGCCATGATTCCTGCCTGTCAGCCCATGCCTCGAAAACTTGACAAGCTCACCGTGCTACGGAAAGCTGTACAACATCTGAAAGCCCTCAAAAGTAACTCTGCTCTGTGTTTTTGAATGCAGTTAATGTTAATTTGCTCAGTGTAACCCCCTTTTGTTTGGGTTGGTTTCAGTTGGGACGAGCAGCGCCTTCACAGACACCACCCACAAGCCTTCCTTCCTGCCTCATGATGAACTTAGGAACCTTCTGCTCAGGGTAAAGGCTCATGGACAAACCTGACGAACCTGATTAGTCAAATTCAAGATTGTTTGTTGCCGTATTCTAACAGATACATTTGTCAGATCAAGACTAGACCACTGTTTCAGCCCATTTTTTTTGTCATATTTGTCCTGCTTTTTTATGATCCAGTCTGTCCAAGATTTCACACAGATATCCTCACATTTGTTTCTAAAATACTTTAAAACAGATAAGTTCACGGTCCAGGTCCTGTAGCCAACACTTCATTTTTTAGAGTGCATTAACAATCCTTTTCAGGATGAATTCTGGTTGTATTTTAATTTGTAATGTGTAACTTGTGCAACAATGTGCAACAAACTTTAAAGACCTTTACTTTTATATAAGTGCATACACTTGGTGATGATCACTTCTTTAAGTGCAGAACCCTAACCATAACTCATGTGCTGCTTCTACATTTTGGCTTCATTTTTGTTGACTGTTGTATAAAAATCCCCCTCTCCTGTGATCCATTATCTCCAAGTTTCTATAACTTTTCCATTTCCTCTTTCCACTCTTTATACTTTAAGTCACTCATATGTCTTTATGTTTTTGTTGGCAGGCTGCAGATGGCTTCCTATTAGTTGTAAGGTGTGACCGAGCAAAAATCCTCTTCATCTCTGAGTCTGTCTCCAAGATCCTCAACTTCAACCAGGTTTGTTCTCTAGATCTTATAAAAAAGATGTCAACAACTCCAAATATTTGGTTTTATTTGTCTAAAAGAGACAAATGGAGGGGGGGCACAGTGGCACAGTTTGTAGCCTTTCAGCGAGAAAGTTGTGGGACCCGATCCAGGCCTGGAGCCTGTCTAGGTGGTGTTTGCATGGGTTTTCTCCTCATCAAAAACATCCCCAGAGTGATGMTTTGACTCATTCACGTATGTTTGAGAAATCCTTGAATCTCCTATGGTACGCATGTAGAGCTGCCTAAACACTTGCTGGTACAGAGCTCCTGCCCCACAGACCACCCCTCCCCTCCTATACAGATTAAAGAAAGACTTAATCTAGGAAACTTTTTTTTTTTTGCAAAGTGGGAGCGTCAGAAATGCTAGGAGGTTCTTAAAGAGACAGGGGCAAATTTCAAGGTGTTTAGACAGGCTATGATGGAAAGTCAAATTTATTTTCATATAAACTGCATTTTCATAACAACTGAAGGTAACATACTATTTACTTGATTGTGGTATAGAATTTAACTGTGTGCCTGGAAAATACACAATACATATAATGATTGAAGATTAAACAGGTGTTTTCTGGTTTCCAGTTGGAGCTAACTGGGCAGAGTTTGTTCGATTTCATCCACCCCAAAGATATCAGCAAGGTGAAGGAGCAGCTTTCATCCTCAGAGATGTTTCCTCACCAACACCTCACTGATGCCTCAAGTAAGACTTCTAGAAAAAAAAATTAATCCAGCAAATTCAAATAAACACCCTGAGTTGCGGGCGACCTTCTTTGCACAGCTGGGGTCCAGGCCCAGGCAGAGGCCCCCCTCAGGCCATCCCTTTTGGCCAGTGGAGCTCGGCGATCCTTCTTCTGTCGTATGAAGCACAGCCGGGTCACAGGGAAACACGACGACAAGCACTCGCTGCCCCGTACCTCCAAGAAGAAAGGTGGGTGTTGGAGCTGCTTCCTCCTCTCCAGGTTAGAAATTGGGGAGGCTGTACATCTGTATGGGTCCACAGACTTCCCCCCTTTCAGGGCTACAGTTGTGTGAAGTGTGATGGAAACAGCTGATGCTCATCGGCTCCTACAGGAGCTTCTCTTTGTTCTGAACAGATCACATGATAGAGCTCCTTCAACCCCCAAACCAGTTTTTAGACATCAGACAACCCTTAGAGTTATAGAAATACTGCCAACATCTGTAAACCACAGTTTCTGCTTCAGGTCATTTCCCCCCTCAATTTATTGACAAATCTTTATTCAGCCTGAAAGACTTTTGAAAATTTTATTTATGTAGCTTCAAGTATAACACTGTAGTCGTAGCTGAAAGCCAATCCTAAAAAAATGCGGGATTGTAATTTTCCTCAAAGCATATTAAGTGGCCTTGACCAGTCCTTTTTGGCAACATACATCAGCTGTATGTTCACAGCGACAAAAATAAAACATAAAAAAGGCTCAATAATGTTCTGGGGCTGCTTTGTTGCATCTGCCACAGGATGTCTTAAAATAAAATCTCAAGACTATCAAGGCATTTTGGAGCAAAGTGTGCTGCTCAGCGTCAGAAAGCTTGGTCTCAGTCACAGGTCTTATGACTCAAAATACAGCCAAAAACACCAAAGGATGGTCAGAACAAACTTTGGACTGTTCTGAAGTGGCCTCCTGAGTTCTGATCTGTGGAAGGAGCCTTTCTGAGACAATCTGAGCAGTTTGTTCACGAAGAGAGGAACAAAATACCTGTAAATCTCAGAGAGAGTTACAAAAACCAAGAAGTTATCAAGTTGTTTCAGTGACATTTGTTATTTCTTTTACTAAAAAAAATCTAAAACAGATTTGTCCGTGTTTGTATACTTTTGATTTTTGATTATTATATGGTCAGATATGTTGTGATTGGGATGTGACACCACTTCCTGTCTTTATATAATCTGTTTGACATGAATGTTGTGAGAAATTAAGAACCGGTTAAATTTTTTATGGATGTTTTCCTATAATTTCAGCAACTTTTAAAAACCAAATATATTTCAAGAGGTGACTAAAAACTTTAAAGAGCTATTGGTATTAGATTGGTATTAGGAATACCATTTTGTTTTATAAATATTCAATTTAAGAACACAAAAATAAAACTTTTTTTCCCTACAAGATGACAGTTTAAAATGCATTGTAAAGCACAGGAAGTAGGTTAGTGGTATTTTACTTGGAGCAGAATGTTTAAGTTTATCCAACGTAATTAAT